GCACACTAAAATATGGATTGTCTATTTCACCCCAAAATCATACATTGTCTTCTAAGTGCCCCATCTCCTGAACACTGGGAGCACAGAGAAATAGAAGCAATAAGATCCAAGTGCCTTATGGAAACCCAGGAAGACTGCTGGTGAGAAGAGGGGATGGCCTGAAGGTTTTATGGGAGCAATAGCTGATCCCATACAGGCAAATGTCCTGTGGAGGCCTTGCTGGGGACACATGGAGTACACCAGGCAGGTATCTTCATCCCTGGGCTTCAGGGCCTGGGTCTCCCACTGGATTTTCCTTTATAATAAAGCTTCCAAGACCCAAAACTGCCTGGTCTTTTGCCATTTGCTGTATTAATAGGAGCATTTATGTAGAAGGGACCCTATGAAAGCAAAGACTGGTTTGATGTAGGGTTGGAAATGTCTGTGCAAAGAAGCGTATATTCTAGCTTTGCAGTAATATAGCTGTAGGAATAAAATGTTTTTCAGAATAAAATATTCATAATTATTTGTGGATAAATGTTAATGAAAATCTTGCAGCACTGACTGAGTACCTTTCAGTTTCTGGTCATGTAAACTATTTCAGCCTTATTGATTGCTTTTCAAAATACAGAAGTTTCAAAAGCAATTGATATTAAAGTGAATTTCTAATTTAGAAATCAGCCTACGCTGTAAAGGAATTAAACATTTCATTAAAGAAAAATATGGAAATCAAAATAAATGGTGAGATTTGATGTACAGTCAAATATTCACTGCCAGAAATAAGAAATACCCTCCCTACCCAGCAGTGTGAACAATACCAGGCAAGAGCTACCACAAGCAGGATTCTGGGGAGCCTTTCCTTGCACCCCTGTGACTGTGCCAACATAATCCATGGGCAATCATTATGGTCACCAAGCCTTTGTCAAGATAGGGTGTTTACCTCTAGTTGGCAGGAGTAAATCCTATTTGCAACTTTCCAAAAGGAGCATTAATTCCTGTGCTGGAGTCAGGGAATTCCGGGGGTCTTTGCTTATTTCCCTTCTGGGGAGTGCCATAAAGACATGGCCTCAAGATCAGGAAGATGCCAAAGGAAAATGGCTGGGACAGGGGTTTGCACATTGCAGCACTGAACAGCTGCTGATGCAGTTTGTCTTCTGAACCCAGAAGGGTAGTGGAGCAAGACAGAGAGCACCGTTCTGCCTCCATGCAAAGCCCTGCCGAGCTCTCAGCTCAAGCACAATTTGCAGCCCCACTCTCCACACATCAGGAAGGAAATAGTAGAGAGAGGGAAAAAGCACAGAAGGGCAACTTGAATGATATCAGAGAGAGATCAGCTGCTTTGCAAGGAGAACTAAAAATGCTGAGAGGGTATACAAGGAAAGATTACAAAATCACAAAGCAGAGGAAAAGTTACATGCACAAGTTTTCCACCAAATCCTTCAAGTATCAGAACTATAGATCACTCACTGAAAATCGAAGTGGATCAATTTAAAATGTATAAACTGCTTTTTTTCCCTGACGGGCTGTAATGAACTTGTGGAATCTGTTGCTGTAGAAAGCTGTAGAGGCAAAAGGTTCAAGTAGGTGTTGTATCAGATGCTTAAGGAACAGACCGGGACTTTCCCCTCCAGCATCCCTCACACAATAAACATGGATATAGAGGATTACAAGTGGAATGGATGGCAGAAAGCAGCTAGATTTGTGTTTTCTCCCTAAACAGCATTTTAAATTTTCACCATCAGAGATTGGTCTCACACCACAGGATATTTCTTGAACTCTGGGAAACCCAATGAAATTTGCAACACAGCACCCAAAATCAGCACTTGTTCTACAAAACATTACTTTTTGGTTTTTAAGTACCTGAGAAAATACTCTATTGGGACAAGAGAGCAAGTCCTCAAATAGCTATTTGTGGCTTTCTTAAACTCAATATTTGGAGTTATTATACCAAGAAAGTTCATCTGTAAAACAAGAAAAAGAGACTCACATGACATTCAAAGTTGCCTACTCTGCTCAAGACATATCAATGGTGAAAGTATATGAATCCCATTGTGAAATACATAGTAGCAACATCACCCCAAGTATACTATCTGGCATTGCCTTCTCCTCATCTCTGTTTGCTGCACCACTTTCTCTTTCACCTCTTTTGTTTAAGAAAGTAGCTGACAGGATCTTTCAACCAAGCCTACTCCTTCGGAGATGTAAGTAAAGACTTAGACACTATGTAAACCTTATGTTCTAAGTCCTATGCCCTACAATTGCTCTTTCATCATCCAGTAGGGTTTAGTTTGGTTTTATTTTTTGTTATTTTAAAATTCTTTCTCTTACTCTGCTTTTTAGTAGTTGTTTCTCCTTTTCCAACCTTGGTAGACACAGGTCCCAGACTTGTCAATTCGAAATAACTAGACTGTCTGTACCACTACAGAAATTCCTTCACTTTTCCTTTCCATCTGATCCTGACATGATGCTTTTTCATAGCCCTTTCCCAGCTACATGTCTCCCTGGATGAACCACAGGCTGAGGCCAGAAGCCTCTATTAGTATTCCAGGTCTCATTTGTGCTCATTTGCCTCAGCAGTGATTAACTTAGCCTAATTCAACCATATTTGCAAGTTTATAAGGACAGCTCACACTCTGAGGCCTCTCCTTTGTGCCCAGAGACCTTCCTGGCTTTTTGATGGAATGTAGAGTCAATGAAATATGTTTATAAACAATGTAGCAGATTATAAATGTATTTTTATTTAACTGAATTTATATTTTACTCACTTTCTGTGATGTTTATCTACTACTATCTTTTATAAATATCCTAAAATACACACAACAAAAAAGGTAATAGAATAAGAGACAAAGGAAAATTAATGTTTTAAATTACATTTAAAGACACAGAATGCAAATCTTTAATTCTATCTTATTATTTATTTCAAACTGCCCATGAGGTCCACCCAGCTTGCCTATATTATTAGTCCTCACTGAAAAAGTTGTTTTCTATTGATACTATGGTGGCCCCATCTGCAAACCCATTTTTGGAGTGAACATTAATAACCATTATGAAAGCAAGGGATCTTAGTCATTCTCAGAGCTACTTGGAACTGTGGAAATTAAATATGGTATTTACTAAAGTAATATGTCTTTCTTTCCTTTAAGCTGGACATCAGAAGGAAAGTTTAATTCTCCAGTTGACTAGCCTAATAAAAACATTATTAAAATTTCATAGTACATGAACCAAGAGATGGACCCAAGTCCTGACAGAGCAATGCTTGGTGTTACAAGCAGTCTGGTTCTCAATATTTAGAGCCCTGTGTGCTTTCCATACTATGAAACCAACCCAGTAAGTGATACAACTTCTGCAAGGTGTTTTTGGTAATAACATTCTCTTAATCCAATTATTTTATATTTACACAGTTCAGTACAATTTGTCAGATATTAGGAACTGGCTATGAGAAAGCCTTATTTTATGTTTTATTTTAATCACATGACATCTAAGAATATCAGACATGAACAAGTAACTTGAAGCAGGAGAAATTGCCATGAAGGAGAGCAAACCCTTTTTAAACAGTTAGTTGCCCAGTGAGATTGTGATCAGCTTTTCAGAAGTTTAAATTAAAATGACAAACTTAAGAAACCCAAAACCCAGAATCTCTCATTACCTACTGTAATGCACAGTCATAGCCTGAGCTAGTTTAAGCACTCAAATTATGCCTCCACCTCATCCCAGATCAATAAATGGGGGAAAAAATATTTTTCTAATCAGGACAATATGATTCAAAATCAGGTTTCTGGTATACCAATTGATGTGGGTAACATTTAGCCAAAGATACCTCTTAGATTTTTGCTTGCTATTGTTAAATGGTTTTCTTCTCCCACTGACAGATAGTTTAGATTACTTTAATTTTAAGCCTTTGAAGTATGCTATTAAGAAATAAGTCTGACAGCAGCAGTAGCAAAGAAAAGATAGAACAAAATTATGCTACACATTAATGGAAATATTAATGGAAATAGGTCTAAGGTCACATCTTATCTTTGTACCCTTGTGCTTCTTAATGCAATGGTTTAGGAACACTGAAAGTAGCAAAACTGAAAGGAAAGAAAAGAATAGGGAATATAAAATGCACATTATGGCAGGATAATTCATCTGGGTTTTTTTCACACCTTCATAAATACTCCAGCCATTTTTCTGCCAGCTCTCCATCTATTACAGAACAGGTGCAATTCACCAAGAGGAAAAGGGCTGTATGCTTCCTGTTAGGATGGAAGAAAAGAGTTCAGAAGCCGTGCTTGTATGGCTGTAAATCACAGGGCTTTGACAGGAACTGTAAAGTCCTGTCAAAACCTATACTAGAAACCATCTGCATAGGAAAGGAAGGAGGAGGAAGAAAGGAAGGAAAAAACTAGAACCTAAATTTCAGTGGTTTCAATTGCATTTTAAAAAAAATATTTTCTCTTATGTTCAGTCAAACATATTTTGTAATGCCAGAACAGAATTCTAAAAATAGGTCTGCAATAAGTGGGTAACAATATGAATTTTGAATGTCCAATTGGATTATTCAAAGTAACCTGTACATCAGCAAAAATAATTTTTTGTGATTAATCTGAGAAATAACAACAGCTGCGCTCCATGTTCTAGCAATACAATTCATTTAGCAGAGTTAAAATCTATTGATAACACCTAAACCTAACAGCAACAATCAAAAATCAATGTGACTATTAATGATTTGAATTTCACCAGGCAAAGAGAGTATTTACATAGCATGCAGGAGACAATTAGTTAAATCATGCAATCAAAATATTACCTGACAGAAAGGTGTATTTTAGAATATATCATGCTAATGCATGGTCTTCCACATTTGAGGTCCTTTATCATATATATGCAACTAAAGCTCCATTAGTTTTTGTATTTGAATACCCCTTAAGTAGGCCTTAAATTGAGCAAAACACCTCAAATGAAAAAGTGTAGCTTTCCTTTTAGTACTTAATCCATCATGACAAACACAACATGTTCACAGGTACCAGAGTCTTTCACAGTAAAAGGTTGATCCTTCACTTTATTTCCATTCACTTAGTCAAAAGTCACACATGAGAACAGATTCACCAGTAACATTTCAAGTGGTAATAGGAGCCGGAAAAAGTCCTGAAGAAATGCAAATATGGGTAAGCGTAATGAAGCAGACATCCAAATTTAGGAATTTTGTCATTACATCTTCTTGGAAGTGGTTGCTTTTATAATGTCAGCAGTTAACTACAATTCAAACAGAAAGATTAAAAAGATATTTAGAGTGGTGACAGCTTCAGATTCAAAAGATCCAGGAATTCAATGTCTGCTTGAGATATATGGTTCCATTTTCAGCTGTGATTGTTGATGCAGATAAGATTATTGCAAGCCAAATGACATCTTAAAAAATTATGTCCAAACATGTTCAGAAATATCTCAGTTCAGTCACCCAAACTGAACAATATCCTCTATGCAAATAGTGCAATTAATAATGATGATGCTTTCATCAGCTTATTGATAAGGCGTATACTTCTGTGCTCTACACCAATCTGCCTTTTAATACACCATTAAGAAGAATCTTAAGTTTTTTCACTGTCCTAGTGAAGTCATATTAACAAACAAAACCACTTGCCTTTTAGACAGTCGACTCTTCTACCCATAATAAATATGTTATTTCATTACAGATTATTTTGGCAAGTGAAGGAATCCTCCTTGACATACATAGCCCTAAACATTAATGTGCCATCCCTGAAAAGTAGATGCTTCCTCTTCTCACTGAGCTTCCAGGACTGGGTAATACTGCTTAATTTTGGGCTCCTTTCAAAGACTAGGAAGGACTCAGTGCCTCAAAAGGCAGGGAAAAGGCATAGGCCGAGGCTTAAATCCCCATTCTTTATGTTCCTACATAATAAATGTTTTATCATTGCAACTTAGCAATGCTGCCTTCTAGGTAGGTACAATGCTTCTTCAGCAGCAAGGAGGATCACAGCCTCTGAAAACAGGTTGCCTGCTTTAGTGCCACAAGCACAGTCCTTGCACTGCAGAAATTGTCCAAGTGGTCTGTGAGACCAGTTTAATACTGAGCTGAAATACAATCAAAGTCAATTTTTATCCTGTGCATACTTGCAGCACCACGTGCTACATCACTTCAGAAACTGGCACCCCACTCATTAGTGTGATCTGCTATTGTCCTAATGATCCACTGTCTTGTCAAGAGCCCTGGATCCTCTGTTATCTCAAACAAAATAATTGTGTCCTTTTTAAAACTGCTCTCTCAAGAGTAGAGGAAAATATAAAAGCAGGGTTCAAGATGATTAATTCACAGTGAAAATGTTTGAGCAGTACATTCAATTACCTAGACATTCTCAATTTATACCTGCAAGGAGATAAAACCATAGTCAATACTTCCAGGAAGCAAAAAAATTTCCAGGTCTGTGGGGGTTTTTAATCTCCTTTTAGTTGCCAAAATATCCCAGTTTCCCAAAGCCGGATAGTTGTGTCACACTGTCCGCCAAAGTTCCCAATGAATGCCAGTTTTTTTTTATCAAGCTCAAGAATAGTTCAGCTAACACATACAAATTACTTTCACCAGCTTTAAGCCCACAGTGTTACTTCACTAAAACAGGATTCTGCATCAGTCTTAAAGCAATTGCTGCTGCCTTTTGACAGCAGTGTGATTTTAATATGAGCAAAGTCAGTAACTACCTGTCCCCTCATTTGACACAGAACATGTGGAACTTCTCAGATGAAATTTGCCATTATGCTTCAACTATGTAATATAAATTTGTAGTATATTTCATAGAATCAAAGAATGGCTTGGATTGGAAATTACCTAAAAGATCATCTAGTTCCAACCCCTCTGCTGTGGACAGGGACACTTTTCCATTAGACTAGGTTGCTCAGAGCTCCATTGAGCCTGGCCTTGAATAGTTCCAGATATCCACAACTTCTCTGGGCAACATGCTCCAGTGCCTCACCACTCTCACCATAAAAAATGTTGTCCTAATATCTAATCTAGACCTACTCTGAGTTTGAACCATTCCCCCTCATCCTGTCACTAACAAGCCCTTGAAAAAAGTCCCTCTCCATCTTTCTTGTAGAATCCCTTCACATACTGGAAGGCCACAATAAACTCATCTCTAAACCTTCTCTTCCCTTTTCCAGGCTGAACAAACCCTTATATTTATAAAAATTATGGTAAATATTAATGCTATTCTATTACAAAAGTACTATTCAGCATTTATATGTCTTTGCTATAGTAAAATTTTTATTTAGGAAGGAATTCAGAGTTCAGGAAGAATAATAAAAAATAAAATAGGCTAAAAGAATTATCTCCCAGTTTGATTTATTGGCATACAAAACTTAGGCTCTACCCACAATTAGCTAGATAATATCCTTTAGAGTATACATTTGTTATGAAAATATAGGATAAACAGAAAATAATTATACATGCTGATGGGTAATTTCAAACAGTCTCATAATGAAAATGCACAGGTTTATCCAGTTCTCCTAGTTGTCTTGTCTATCTCTAATAAGCCAAAGATGTAACTATTTTCCCCAGCAGCAGTACCACAAAAAACACTCTAAAATCTGTTTATATAACACAGAGAGATAAAAAGAAAAAGGGAATAGTTCTTAAGGGAAAGCTTTCCAATAATTTTCCAATTAAAATCCTAGCCTTGAAACAGTTCAGAACTTACATAATGAGAACACTAATGCAAGCTGTTAATTACTTTTTATTTCTGTGAAAATTGCAAGGTATTTTGAGTGTTATTGGTACAGCTCCTCTACAATATTACTCCAAAGGCACTAGGAGGAGCTCTAATTGTTCCCCAAAAGACACTAATTTCCACCTAATAGCTATTAAAGCAGACCCAGTTTATTGGGTTTGTTAATGCAGACTTTGTATAACATGTTTGAAATGCATCCATAGCACAAAAATGCAACTTTATTACCAGAGCTAAAAAAGACCTCCTTCAGAACAAATGTTTCTTGTTACTGTGGTCTTTCTCTGTACATATTTATCTCTATGTCTGTTAACATGGTTCATCCTGTACACATACTTTATGTGTTCCCTTCAGAAGTTGAATGGTGATGGCTACAGGTGACTTGGCCTACCAGGCTAGTAAGATTGCCTGAGTGGGTATATAATAATGTACATATATTATATAAAAACCTATTCTGGTTTGGAAGAACACTATGATGATCAGATGTAAAAGGCAACTCTCTGTAGAAACCTGGTTTTAAACAGACATTTAAATAATGTCCTTAGCTCATTAGACACGCATATTTAAGCTGGATGTGGTTAGGTACCAAGAACTGCATTACAGTTACCTTAGGTTACTTCTACATGAACACAAACATGTCCCCAGGCAGCAATTTCCTCTTTGCAGCCCAAAGAGCACCATACAGACCAAATCTGCTCCGTCACGTTCACTCTGCACTTGTAGTGCTCAGTATCTATTCTATGCTCATAGGTGTCTTCTGACCTGCACACTTCTTTAATACAGCACGAGCACTGCATGTATTTGCCTGCTCAGGGCACAGAAACACCTAAAGGATGGCTCCTACTTTGTGCAGCACTGTGTACAATGACATCTGCTCTCACTGATCTTACTTCTACATCCGCTGCATTTGCTCCTTGTGACTTCTTCAGAGGGACTCTGATGTCTTCTCTTTCCAGTTTGTGGACCTGTTTTTTTCCAGCATATGGGATCACAAGAATTGCTCCAGACATCACAGGTTTTACTCCAGGTCAAGGGCCTGAGCTGCCCTTTCAGATATAAGGTGCTGCTGTGGTAGGCTAGCTCACCTGAGCCACCACCATTCTGTTTCTGATAGAAATAACTAATGTATACACACAGGACAAACAACAGTGGGACCACAATTTTCTGGATGTCAAGGAGCCTAATATTTGTTATTTAGCACTAACACCCCATTTCCCAGGACACTATACTGCAATCCAGAGCTATGCCATCACTAAAAAAAGAAAGAGAAACCCATGTATGTCCACAATGAACAAGTTTGGTGAGGAAGACTGAATAATTTGAATTTTGGTTTCCCAAATATATATAACATAAGGTTGGTCAGGCCCTACCACCCAGGGGGCCCTCAGCTGCATTGGGGCCATTAACAAGAAACAAATATTATTTGTTATCTCCTACAAGGTTCTTACCAAAAAATAAACGTCAAAGGCTCCATCACCCTTGAAAAACTGCTGAGAAAGATGAATACAGCAGTTGCACTTGAGACACCAAGGTCTGAAAGGTAAAGCCAAGGTCCTTTTCCCAGGCACAGACACACCAGCCTACCCAAGGTTCAAATATCACCCTAAGGCTTGGCAGACACTGTGTGTCTCCTTTTAATAAAAACACACAAGCACTTACTGATGCACCGTTGCTAGCTTTGCCCCCCTCAGTACCTTGACTAGTGCATTTGTCAACTGACCACATGATGGCAAAGTGTAAGGGGCTGGATGAATACCAACAGGCACAATCCCAAGAGTGGGATCTGCTTCCCCAAACATGCAAAGTTCTGCAGCAGTCCCAAAGGAAATGACTATGATTTCAAATTGAAAGGTCAGTGCCATGAGAAGAGCCATTTGCACACAACTCTAATGCTGAAAGAAGCAGCTGTCACAAGGAGAGAAAAACAGTTTCAGATGCTCAGCTCCAGATATAATTTGTACCTTGAAGATTAAAAACTCTGCAGCTGGCATTAGTAACAGTCTGGCAGCCATGGAAGCTGTAGAGAATCCTGGCAGTCCTGAGGAGATGATATTTCTGCCTACATTCAGAGGCAGAAGATATTACTATACAGATCTGTGGTTAAGAAAACAAAATTTTAAAAAACTGCCTAGGCAGGCTGAGAAATCAGTGAGGCCAGCATCTGCCCATGCAGTTTGAACAGGTCATCCTAACCAACAGCTCTAATTTTGAAAAAGAATCTCCTCTCCAGTTGTTGTAGCGTCCATGATTGGAATTTACAGCACAGATTCCAATCACTTCTACCTCAAAGGATGAGCTCTAAGCACAAATTCAGTCACTTCTACCTTAAAAGATGAGCTCTAAGACCTTCCATCCTGCATTGAAGAGAAGCTTACAGGTGCAAAGAAATGCCAGTGTCAGTGCCCACCATGGCACTGTTATTCTCAGTGTATCCATTCAAAAGCCCAAGACATAAACATTTTCTTTCTTGGCTCCAGCTGAAAATAACTAAATGCTACTCACATAAAAGTGCAGTTTTTCTGCATTCTACCTTCATCTTGGTATCAGGTAACTCATATCAGCATCTGCCTTCAGTATCCAGAAGGAATCTTCTCATGCATGAGTGACTTGGATATTTTGTCCAATTCTATGCCATCTCTTTGTTTTTCTAATCTGCCCCTACTTCAGCTAGATAAGGCTGCAGAGAGACCATGGCTTCTGCTTCCACTAGCTTGAGCATCTTTGTCAAACTCAACATTCCTAAAAAAAAAGCTGCTAATATGCCACCTTGTCATGCATCAAGGCAGCATTATCCTCCTCCTTTGCTACAAGTCCTTAAAGTAGTGAATCTGGTGAATATTGACAAATTCAAACTAAACTATATTCAGTAGACACTCTCCCAAGTGACACTCCTTCAATAATCCTGAAGATATATGCACAGGAGAAGTTAGTCCTTTAAGGCAAGGCATTTGCCTAGTCCTTTTACACCAAGGCAAAATAAGACTTCACTTGCATACCTTGGAGTCAGTGGAGACACTCCAATTCTTGCAGCCTACTGCTTTCACGCTTGTAGATCTGTTTTTGCAGCATCTGGAAGAATATGGCCATTACCAGAAGTCCGGAGTTAGCACAGTCAGTGGGTGATGCAAATTTTTAATTTTGTCAGCTGAACTGCCATCTATGGTAGCACAAGGTAAAGCTGAGAAAGCAGAGAAGCAATACTTCTCTTGAGAAATATTGCAGATGTACTGGATTCTTGTGACACTGAGCAAGAGCTGGAGGAAGGGAATTAGAATAACTTTGTGGTGTCAGAGCTGTCACAGAAAACTGAATTTCAGGTAGGGGAATTTAGGAATAGGAAAGATGAAGTGAGCTGTTTGTTGGCAGGTCAAACTGAATAACACTCAGAATATCAATAGTATGAAACTATATAAAATGACAGCCTTTGCTCTTTTGAACTTGGTTTAGGCAGGGAATAAAGATTAAAGAGCTTAGACAGGGATTCTAGTATGAAAATCTTTTCTCTTAAGACCGGAGCCACACTTGAAGTTTGTTGATGAGCAGAAGAGGGTAGCTGTTCCCTCCAGTGTCATTGTGCTGTCCTTCAAAGCCAAAACCTGCTGCAGCTGGCAGTAAAACAATTCATGCATAAAATGCAAGCTAAATAGGCCAGTTTAATGAGTTTTCTATATTGACTACCCACCCATATCTTCAGTAACATCCAGGGATTCTACCTGCTGAACTACTGATAGTTTTGATGCTATTTATTAACTTCAGTAGTGGTTTTAGCAAAAGCATCACACTTACCAACTCCAGCTTGAACTCATTTGTTATGTGTCAGTAATTTTCAACCACTAGCAATCATCTCCCACTTCTTAGACTTGCTTCAGTGTTGCTTATTTCCTGCTTTAATTTACAAGACAGAGCTGCTTCCAGACTTCCCTTTTAGATATTGGATGGCCCAAACATCATGGAGTTCTTCCATGGGGGGTTGGATGATGAACCTGGGGGAACTGGCTGATGCCATTGTAATGCTACTGTATAATCCTTGACTCACCACAAAAACTGGGAGGAGCGCCTGAAGAGTAGAAGAAAGCAAATGTCATCCTGTCTTCAAGAAGGGGGACCCAGGGGATTACAGGCCAGTCAGACTCATCCTTGGAAGGTGATGGAGTAGCTAATCCTGGAAACCATTTCTAAGCACACAAAAACAAGAATCATATGGAAGAGTCAGCATGGATTCACCAAATGTAGGTCATGCTTGAAAAACTTGACAACCTTCTATGAAGAAATTACTATCCTGGTAGAATAGGGTGGAGCAGTGAATATTTAGTAAGACTTTAGTAAGGCTTTCCAACACTCTTCCGCAAGATTCTCACAGGGAAGCTTCTGAAGTATAGTCTGGATGAGCAGACAGGAAGGTAGACCAAAAACTGACTGGCCAGGCCCAGAGGGTGGTGATCAGTGGCATGAAGATGAGCTGGAAGCCAGTAACTGGCAATTAGTTACCCAGGGGTTAATATTAGGTTTAATCCTGTTTACCACCTTCATTAGGTGGTGGTGCAAAGTCTACATTCAGCCAGTTTGCAAATGACACAAAACTGAGAGAAGGGGCCAAAGAGCCATGCTGCCATCCCAAGGGAGCTTAACAGACTGGAGAAACAGGCCAGCAGGAACCCCAGAAAGTTGAATAAGAAGTGCAAAGTCCTGCAGCTGGACAACCCCATGCACCAGGACATCAGAGGACACCCAACTAAGAAAATAGCTTTCAGAAAACAGCTTTAAAGGAGTGTGAAAAGGGGACAGAGTCAAACTCTTCTAGATGTGCCCATTGACATGACCAGAGGCAAGGGTCACAAACTGAAACACACGTGACATTGCTTGAACATCAGGAAACACTGCACTATGAAGATGACTGAGCACTGGTACAGATGATGATACAGGTTGCCTGGAGAGGTGCTAGAATCTCCCTCCTTAGATACAGGGTCATAGTGCTGGGCAACCAGCTCTAAGTGGCCCTGCTTGAATAGGTGGATGAATCAGAAGACATCCAGACATTCCTCCCAGTCTCAACCATTTTGTGATATTTATTGCTTCCCCCTCAACACTGAGACATTGGGACTTTTTCTCATTGTGCCGATTCCTTTCATTTCTTCAGCTACACAGACATTTTGGGACAAATTTCTCCCCAGCATTTCCAGAGCCCTGGGTGTCAGATTACAGAACCACACAAATGAGTAAGAACAGACCTGCCAGATGGTGAGGCTTGATCTGAGCAGTGCAAGCTTCAGCACTGCTTCCAGGAATCATCATCTCAGGGACTTCCAAGCAAAAAGCAAATTTTTGTACTTAATAGTAATTGAGATATTTTTCTTCTATTAATTAATCCAATTGGTTTTGGAACACATATTTAGCTTCCACAATATCCTGTGATGACCACAGCTGAATAGTATGTGATGATGAATTATATTTTGCACCCTACCATGGTCTAGGTGGCTTTGACACTCACTAACTCTTGCACAGAATGAGAGTGGAAGAAGTTCCCTATATAGTTTGTGCCATTCACAGCTTTACACATGCATAACTCAGTTCTCTCTTTGAGACCAAAGAGCCTGGATGAGGATCCAGCAAACTGTCCCCCATACAGGAATCATTTGATTCCTTGATCACATTATCAGACACATATTATATAGAATGTTTCCAGTTTTACTATATTCTTGAGATAACAAGAAAAAATATAAAGTGGTCAGGATGTCAGGAACACCATAGATTTATACAGCAATATATCCATTTAGTGATTAACAGTTTGAGAGAGAAAAAAACATGAGCAGAGGATGTTGCTGAGAGAGGATGATGTTAATTGCATATAAGCTTTGCAATGGAGCATGATGGCTTTAGAGCTGTGAATAAGCCTGGGAAATGCAGCATTTCTACACAAGGCAGTGAAAAGGACTCTAAGGACAGAAAGAGCAGCTGCAAAGAGAGGAACAAGTAGCATCCACAGAATTTAACTATTTATGAGATAAGTCATAGCCACAGTATTGATGTTCAAGACCATAGAAACAAAAGTTATAGCTGAAATACGCAATGATTTTTCAACTGTGTGTATAATAAAATAAGAACATACAAAGACCAAGTGAATTGTTGGTCTTCTGTGTAGGAAAAAAAAAACCTATGACACTACTTTTTCATCAGCAAATATATCAAACAAGAGACCTATTATTTACTTTTATAAACAAGAAGGCAGAAAGGCTTCAGATTTTTGTGAAGACATTAATAAAACTTCCCTGACTCTACCACAGCACACAGGCATGTCCCATTCACAAAAATGCTGGCTACTTTGGTATGTAGCAATATTATGTTTGCTTAGAATTTGCAACCACTCAAATTTTGCTTATTCTGTCTCCAGGAAAACAGCTCTTCTCAGAAAATGTATACATTTCTTTTCTTTTCAGACTGCTACCTTCATCAGTTTTATGTTTCCCTGTTTGCCAGAGCAATTGAAGCCTGTAAAATATCATGTTAGCATGGAATGGCAGCAGTCACTAGATTTTCATAATAACTCTCCAAAACATGTTCATACTTTTCATAGATTTATTCATCAGCAGGAAATGCAGACCTGTCAGCAAATACATGGTGCTTGGAAGCTCTTGCAAATAAACAATGATTTTAATTTACTAAAGATAGTTCAACATATTTATGTAGCAATCTCACAAAGCAATACTCTGATTATTTTCAGCAACTCCTACAAGCAATGTGCACAGTGAGCATTTTTGACCTAATAAACATTTCCAGGTCTAAGATAAGAAGTAGAATAGAAAATTAAGATCTCAAAACAGAGCCATGCTTAAAATAAAACTTCAGGTTTACCTCTGATGTTTAGAGAGGAATGAAAAAACAATGCAAGACTGACCAATAAATACCAGGCTAAATACAGGGATTATTTCAGCAAGTGTAGTGAGGCTGATGAATGATGATGAATTGCATTAACTTTTTGTTAACCCTCTCTGCACTAAGCGGATAATATGGATATGATAACATGGCACATTTAAGTCCTATCTGTGAATTTTTCAATTAGCAAATAAAAAGGAAGTAACAAATAATTTTGGCACCAAAAGCAGACTTTTTATTTTTTTTTTAATTCCTAAAGAAAAGCAATCTGACAGAGATGATGGTAATGTCAAATCACTGTCATCAAAGATTCTACTAAACACTTATTGCAGCCCTAACCTTGAAAAATCTTATACTTGAATATTATTTTTTGTGTGTGTGATAAGGACTAGATTTAGTATTTATATGATTGTTATAGAGATTTGGACAATCAAGACTGTTAGTCCATAGCTCACCAGTCATATATACAACTGGTGCTCTGCTAAGTTTCATTTGTAGCAGAGATCTGTTGTATATTGATTTAATCCTAGCAAGTTAGAGCATATTTGCTTTCTATGATTTCTGACTTCATAAAGGGCAAATAATGCATGACTAATCTAGTGGCCTTCTACAATGGAATGACTGGATCAATGGACAAGGGAAAAGCATCTTATGTATCTGCCTTGACTTCTGAAAGGTCTTTGATACAGGAAATTGATCAATATTTACATGTGCCATGATCTAGATTTGGGTATTTCTGGAATCTATGTTCCACTACAAATATTTTGTCCTATATACTTAATTTTCAAAAAATTCCATTTGTGGTGGAATGATGAAAAAGACAGTAAATTACAGTTCCTTAACTAGCTCTGCAACAGATATTTTGGAGAAGTTGACTGTGATACAAAGTGCTTTACAGTCTCTCTTTATGACTCTGTCCCAAGTCAAAATCTGATTAATTGTACAGTAAAAACCTTGAACAATCTCCAGACAGGCTGAAAATAGGATATGCCAAAAATTGTTAAATGCAAAATCTTCCAGTGCACATATTTCAAAATAGCTCAAAGCACAATTTTTTACCAATAAAAAGACTAAGTCAAAGCATAATTGATCAAATAGTAATAAGACATCTACAGCCATTTGTAACCAATATGATCAAAGGCAGAAAAGTACTATTACAAGGAATTTGAACATTATTTCTGTGCAGCAAGCAATACAGTCACATGAAGAAACATATTTATAATGAGTGACATAACTTCAGATCATGAGTATTAAAATGAACTCTCACTCTGAAAGACTTTTTAATGATTGCAAATCCATTTTCATTGTACATTCTTGCCACTATTTTGTGGGAAAAGGTTAGCAAAAGACAACTGCAAGGAGACGCACAAAACAAGGATTTAATTAAATACATGATAAAAAATGAGGAAAACAGTCTTCCAACTAAAAATGAGCAACTTAAAGACAGTGCAATATATTTGGAAACCTCTGACAGACTGAAAAGCAACACCAATTAGCAAGATTGGACCAGGATTTTGGATATTTTTGCCTGGATGCTGACCCTGCAATTCAGGTGACTGACACAAAACCACACAGAATTAAAAAGAAATACTTAATCTTTGAATATAACATATGTGGAGATTAAGCCTTACTGAAATTTGTCAGCCACTAATACACACAAAGTCAGCATAAAAGAGCAAATTTTATTTTTGGTTCAGTGGTTTTTATACATATTTTAACAGCTTATAAAACTTGAACTGTTTTTGCTTCACTGATATTTTAAAAAAAGTCCTAGCAATAACGATTCATACTAATCATCTAGGCTCAAAATTTTCCTCATGTCCAGTTTGTCCCAGGTTTTCATGAAACAAAACTGTTTTGCACATGGACTGGACATGAGCCCAACTGTGCATGAATCCTGAGAGATCAGAAATGAAATGCAAATAATTAATGAAAGACCAAGAATTTTTAATCTACAACTAAGGGATGAGATTATCCAGCTGGAGGCTGGGACTGGCCTCTTTTAATAGAATAGATATATTTTAGATTTGGGCTTTGCAATTGAGCCAACTGAGGAAAGAGAACTTTTGCAGCAAGAGAAGAGGATTATGGTGAGGTGGCTGCTGTCAATGAGACTCTCTCCAGCACTGGACAAATTTTGTTGGAAACGAATTATTCTGTGCAGAAAAAATGAGTTATTATCTGAGAGTATTTATGAATATTTATATTATAGAAAGTACAACTACTGGCCAATATATTGACAACCCAGGCAGTCACTCCTGTCACTATACTCCAAAGTCATGCATCTAAATATTGCCTAA